AACCGAAGAAACTTTCCCCGGGCGCTTCCCCGCCCTCGGACTTTCCCCTGCGTTTGACCGAGTTCCCTCTGCAAACACCGAGGGGGTGTGTGCCGGGAATTACCGCTGCTGCTTCGGAGGGGTCCAGAAAGCAAGACGAGTCCAAAAAAGGGCATTGGGGTTTGTGCAAATCTTGCCGAAGAAGCAGATTTTCCGGGGGTTGGAATGTGTGTTTAAACTCGGAAGACCTCGTGGTCAGGCTGGAACATTCTCTGCGCGTTGCTTCCACCCTTCGCCGACCGGTCCCCTCGTTTCCGGTTGGGGGATGGGCCCCTCGGCCCCGCGCGGAGCCCGGGGCGAGTTCTTTGTTCTGCACCAGCGAGAGGCACGCGGGGAGGCCGCCTGCAGGCTGGGCCGTGCGGTTCGCGGGCGACGGCGGTGACGGTGGGGAGGGCCACCGAGGCAGAGGAGCTGGGGCAGCGGCGGGACAGGGAGGTCACAAAGAGCACACCCTACCTCGCAACTCGGCGAGTATCTTTTCTTTGAAATACGCTTCTTAATAAAGAAATCTTTGTGGCTATCTATGAGTTCTTGATGTAACAGGTAGATGAGCCTTTATCGAAAAGAATTGCAAACGGGTTCCCTTGAGTCCTACCTCGTAATCTTACATACAGTGTCATTGGACGGGCTTCCTCGCACAACTTTTTCGCTCCCAGTTGCTCCTTCGCTTTTTCTTTGGTAGAACTCGTGTAACAGAAAACTTTTTCAAAAGAGAGAATTACAGAGATTCTTCAGTGGGATGTCTGCCTGTTACCCTTATCTGCCAGCCTTCTCCCTGGACGCGACCATGTTAGACGTTTTTGTACATCCTTTTCTGATCATTCTTCCCTTAATTACTTTTTATTCCAAAACAGTTTTCTATTTCCATCATTCTTTCAGAGAGTCTCCCTATACTATCTGGGTATATAGTATATACACACACATCATCAACATCGTACGTTGTTACAGCTAATAAATCAATATGTTGCTACATTATTATTCACTGAAGTTTGTACTTCATACAGATGTCCTCAGTTTCTCTATAAATGTTCTTTTTCTGTTCCAGGATCTCATCCAGGGTGACATTAAATTTACTGTGCCTGTCTCAAGGCTGTTCTTGGTTGTTTCAAGACTCCGTAAGTTCCTCAGATTTTCTTTGCTCTTTCAAAACATTTTATTTGTCAATTACAGTTTATATTCAGCATATTAGATTTTGATTTTGATGCCTTTGACAGTTTTGGTGATTACGGGGCAGGTATTTTGTAGAATGCCCATGAACAGAGATTTTAAAAATACTGATTGATAATGCACGTATGATAAAATTTGCTTCCTTAAAATCGCACAATTCAGTGCTTTTTAGTATTGTCACAATGTTTTACAATCATCCCTACATTTTAAAATTATTTTCGAACATCCCTACATTTTTATCATCCTATAAAGAGCCCCAGAACCGTTAGCTGTCACTTCCCATTCAGTGACTTAACAGTCCCTGATCAGCTTTCTCCATGTATTTGCCTATTTTGAACATATCATATAAATTGAGTCAACCAGAATGTGTGATCTCTTGTGTTTGATGCTTTCACTTAGCATAACACTTCCAGGGTTCATGTTATCTGTAGCATGAATCTATACTTCATTCCTTTTTATGGCCAAATGATATTCCATTTTGTAGATATGCCATACCACATAATTTGTTTACACATTCATCAATTGATACATATTTGGGCTGTTTTCAGTTTTTGAGTATTGTATTAAGGCTGTTTTAAAAACTCACTTGCAATTTTTTGGGTAGACATCCTCACTTTGGGATGTTTTATATGTAAAAGTAGAATTGCGGTTCATATGGTAACTTTATGGTTAAATTTGCAGGTTCTCCCAAAGTCTTTTCCCAAAGAGGCTGCGCTATTTTACATTCCTACCAGCAACGTATGAGGGGTCCAATTTTTCCACATCCTCCATAACACTTGTTCTGTCTTTTGAACATAGGTCCCCTAGTGAGTGTAAAATGGCATCTCCTTGAACCATTCATTTACATTTCCCTTATGACTAATGATGCTGAGCATCTTTTCATGTGCTGATGGATCATCTTTTCATCCATTTATTCAGGAAAAATTGTCTACAAATCCTTTGCCCATTGTTAATGTTTTTGAGTTTTATTTTTGAGTTGTCAGATTTCTTTACCAGCTGTATGATTCACAAATATTTTCTACCATTTTATTGGTTGCCTTTTCATTTTCTTAATATTGCCCTTTGAAGCAAAATCCTTTATGTAGTTGTGGTGAAGTCTCATTTACTTATTTTTTGTTTGTTTGTTTTGGTTGCTTGTGCTTTAGGTGTCCTAGCTAAGAAACCATTGCTTAAGTCGAGGTCACACAGATTTACAGACTTACACCTATGTTTTCTTCTAAGAGATTTATATTTTAAAATCTTGCATTGAGGTTTTTGAGCCATTTTGAGTTAATTTTTGTATATGATGTCATGTAGATGTTCTGATCAGTTTTTGGAGATTCTCCAGCTTCAGTTGCATAAAGAATAGTTTTATCCCAGATCTGATGTCCTTTAAACCACACCCCTGAGAGTTTGACTTGGAGGTAAGTCTAGACTTTGGGGCAGAAAGGGAGAGGTGGGGGAGACATATTCGCATGTATGAGTATGGTCCTGAGAGCCAAGCCTACTGGTGAGTTCTCCTTTTCTGTGTGCTCCCTTCCTACTTGTAGGATGTGCTCTGGCTTATAAACTGATAGGAGTGACCCTATGTAAGTAGATGAATGAGCTATAATGGCAGCTCTCTTTGGATTGCCTGAGGCTTGGGAGTCCCTCCTGGCTTCTTGGGAGTTGAAGCCAGCTTCTCAGTGCAGTAGAGGAGCTTGGAAATGAGGAGCAAGAGTGGTCAGCATTGTCAGAACGAGCAGGCTGGAAAGGAAGGGTGGAAGATGGGTCAAGAAATTAGACAGTCAAGCACATTAGAGTTGGAAGTAAGTGTAGTCTTGTCTTATCTTAACAGTGGTTATTTCTTCCCATCCTAAAATTAGTGATCGCTGAAAAAAGTATCAACAGAGTAAAAAGTAAAAGACGAACCTCACACGATATCCAGATTGTCTCAAGCAAGACGAGCCTAAAGAAACATGACTACTGAACACAGTATGTGTGTTATTTTGTAATAGGAAAGGAGTCATACTAAGGAAATTCTGAATACGGTATGGACTTTAGTTAACAACAAAGAGTATATATACAGTTTCCACTCCCTGGGAAGTACCTTTTCCAGGCGGAACAAGAACTGTAATATTCGATACAATTCTAAAAGCCAACACTACTATAGAAATTTTAGTCTGCGTCAGACTCTGTTCTAAATATGTATGTTAACTCATTTAATTGTCAAGTCATTGAATGAGATAGAATTCTGCCATGTTTTATAGATCAAGAAAATCAGGCACAGAAAGTTAACTTGCCCAAGGTGACATTACTGTCTTATCACTAGACTATAGTGCTGTGTTCTCGCACATTTGTTCAGTGGGCGTGCAACATATATTTATATAACATATCCACATATAATTTTACATGATTTTTTATGTGTGGGGATTAACTCAATAGTCAATATCCCAGAGTGGCATGCTTTCAGGTTGGCATGTTCCAAACTCCTTCCTATGTTACTTCCCATGAGTATGTAAGAATGAACTAGAAATTGCAATGTTTGTCATCAAAAACCGTTAAACATGGATAATTCACATGGCTTAGCCGACTATTTCATTCTTTACGAGTCATATTGTGTTTTGTTTATATATACATTAATTTTTATTTTTCCATCACCTTCTGTACCCACATACCTTCTTCCACATTCACCTACCATATATATATATATTTTTTGTTTAGCCTAACCAACTTCCACTAGGCACATTACACAGTTTCCAGCATTTTACTCTAACAAGTCTGCATTGATGTGTCTTCATACTTGCTTGAATATAAGATCATTGGGAACAAAGCACTAGTGTACGGGATCGGGAAAGGGTTTGAGCTACGTCAGTCACCATTAATTCCCCCCCGACCACAGATCTTTGATACAGACCATTGAAAAAGGGCAAAGTTATGCAAAACACCATGCAGATGCAGCGACTGGGTTCGGTCCTTACCTTCCCCTTAGCTTTTTTCCCCCCTGGGCTATACATATGCAGAAACTTTGGAGTTACCAGAATCCACTGCATATGCAGAGGGTATTTTTAGGGAAAAAAATAATTTAAGTACTTGTTCTTTAGTGTTGTATGAAAGTGCTATTTCCCCCAGTCCGGATATCATTGATTATTGGTTTAAAAAAAAAAAGAAAGTATCCAAGTATTACAAAATCTCTTGTTTTATATAGGGATTCAAGTTCACTTTTTTTTTTTGTTTGTTTTACGAGAAATGAATAGTTAATTTTGCCTATTTAATGATCTGTTCATTCTGTATTGGAGAGTTTAATTACATTGATATTCTTGGCGTAACTTTCAACTTACAAAATAAGTGTAGAAAGTAGGAAAAGGGGAAATTTCATCAAATTTGAATAATGTGGTATCTTTTTAGATTTCCTACTAGGCAGGGCCTCACGTCCTAGCGTCAGTGCATTGACTGTGGTTCGCATCAGTGTAACTTTCCGAACCAGCGGCTCTGCCGGGCCTGTAGGAAGACGTGACCGCTGATGGAGGATCAGGATTATTCGGCCCGTGGTGGCCGCAGGCGTTCGCTGGGAACCAAGAATCATTTTCTGAACGGTTTATGTGCGCACTGAAATAGGGAGACACTGTTCATAACCCAGGGGGCGGGTGGTCATTGTTGGAGCCCCCGTCTCCCGCCTCCAGTGCCCGGGGGACCGATAGACACCTCCCCCAAGATATCCCACTCGGGAAGGGCGCTGGCGACCCGCACTGCGGCAGGAACGCGGCACTGCGGCAATTTGCCGCGCAAGCGCGGACGGCAGTGGCGCGGAGCAGGGCGCATGCGCAGGCACAACTCGGGCGATTAGTTGGCGCTGCAGCGGCGGGGGCCAGCGCAGACTGGAGCGGCCGCCGGCGATGCCTGACGTGGTGTGAGGAGCCGCAGCGGCGCGATGGAGCGGGCCAGGTCAGCGGTGCGGGGAGCTTCCCTCGCCGTGCCCGGGGCGCAGTCGTGCTTACGGCGGATACGCCAAGGTTGCACAATCTGGAGCGTGGCGTATCTACGGGGAATCCGGGACTTCAGGGCCTTTGTTCTGGGAGAGTGGCGGGGCCGCCTAGGGAGGCGCGGGGCTCGGCTGTGCATCTAGACCGTGCCCTGTCCGCACCGGGAGGTGTTCTGGCCCGTCTGCACCGTCCTGCTGCCTCCTGTTCGGTCTTCACAGGGGTGGCCCTTTGTCCTTGAGACCCGAGGCCATGGTTGGGGGGGGGTCGAGTCACCGCAAAGGCGGAGGGCGAACGGAGGGCGAAGCCGTGTTAGGCAGCATGGTACCCCGGGGGGGGGGCGGGCGGGAGGGGGCGTCGGCAGTGGCGGGGAGGGGGCTGCAGGGTGGGGCATCCGTGGTGGTGTGAGGGGGCGGAGCGTGGGCTGTTCACAAAGAACTCGGTCGGGAGGGGGGCCGCGCCAGTGGTTTGGCGGTCTCCAGAGGCCACCGCCGCGGTTTACGGACGGCACGAGGTTGACCGCAGTGGCTGTGGTGGTAGTGGGAAGTGGGGAGACTGCCTGGCGGTGGTGTTGGGGGGTGGTGTGGCGACTGTGTGTGGTGTGTGGTGTGGTGAATATGAATGTGGTGGGCGGTGTGGCCAGAGCGGCAGCGACGGAGCTGTGTGGCCGGGGGATGGTTGGGGATCCGTGCGGTGGTCGCCCCGTTGTGGCAGAGGGGCGCGAGGGCAGGGCGGTGCCGGGGTCTACAGTGGCGCGTTCTGCGGTCCGCTGACGTCACTTGGAAGAAAGGGAATGTTCGATTGTCTGCGGGGAGCAGCAGCCGAGACTTAGCGCGCCGTGGGGATTCTGTGCCCCGCCCTCGGCTGCAGGGATGGTTGTAAACCGTTCACTTCCCTGGCTTTGTGCCTGTGGCGTGAGATGGGGAAAGAACGTGCAGCGCCTGCTGCGCGTGTGCGGAGTGTGTGCCGTGGTCGGGAGGCGGCACCGTGGAGCGGCTCCTGCCCGCCTTCGGAATGAGGTGTGGCGGGCAGCTGGGCGCGCGCGGGCCCGGGTCTCACTCCAGCCTTTGTGCGGCTCCGCCAAGATGGCCGCTGCCGCAGCCGTGCGGGGCGCGCAGGCGCGCGGGCCGGGGGTCCCCGCCCCCACTCGCCGTGCTGCAGTGGGGGAGGGGCGGCGCGCGCCCCTGCGCGGCAAGAAGGCTCCAGCCTCCGCCCCCTGGCGCAGTGCTGCGCAGCAGGGGCGGGCCCGTGGGGGTGGTTGCCCCCTCCCCTCGTCTTTGCTGCAGGGTCGCGGGCGTCGAGGTGCGCAGGCGCATGCGCCGTAGTGGGGCGATCGCACGGGGGGAGGGGGCGTGCGGGGCCTCTACCTGGAGGGGCTGGCAGCCACTCCCCTCACCTGTCTGTCACGAGGGCTGCCCCTGCCCTGGGGAGCCGCAGTTGGGGGAGGGGACACAAGGGGCCTTCGAGCGCTGCGCTGCGGCCATGCGGCCGCCCCTCCCCTCCCCTCGGTGCTTGGTGGAGAGCGGGAGGCCGTGAGGCCCAGGCTTGGCGCAGGGGGCGCCTCTGGGGTTCGGGGCCCGACCCGGGAGAGGCGGTCGGGAGGCAGAGAAAGGGGAGGCCATCCTGCGTTGCTAAAGCGGCCTCCATCACTGGTACAGCAGACTTTAAATCTGTTCTTCTGACTCCCCAGAAAGGCCTGCCTTTTTACTTTTGTAGGTTTTCCTTGGGTTGTCCATAATCAAAGTGGATTTAGTAACTCTTTAGATACCTGCTTTTTTTCTAACTTTTTGTAAGTATTTCTACCTTCCAGATTTTGTGATTGCACAAATGTGTCACCTTTAAAATGGTAAAATTTCTTAATCTTTGGACATTCTGTTAACGACGTCGCCTTATAGACCGTTTTTATTAAATTGGGAACAGGGCTCACGGAGAGTAACAATCGGAGAAGTGGAGGGAAGGCTACAGGTCTGGGTGTGCATGGGATTTGGGGACTGATATTTGTAATTGGATTTTTAAATTTATGGTCTAGTTTTGAAGTTGGAGGTACTATGAAAACTTGATGAGAAAGGATAATGAACAAAGTAACTATTCCTGTTGTGTATTACAGTTTTGATTGGGGAAGTGCATTTTTAAAGATTTTTATTTCTTTGCAGGATTCTGATGTGCTGCTCTTTTTTTTAACTCTTTTCTCATCTTTCCTTGTGCTCAGTTGGAACATAATTAAGACAAACATAAGCCAAGGTCTTGGAAAGCTTTGTTGTAGAGTTTGAAAAATAGCAGGACTCGGGAATCTTGTGGTTCTTCTGATTTGCGCATATTTTCCTTGGTTGTGCCACAAAACTGCGGAAAGGGGTTGCACTTTGGAGTCGCCTGCGCGCCGCGGGCCCCTCGGCGGGCGGCGGGTCCGCCATTTTGTGGCGCGGGGACCTGAAAAGACTTTGTCCAAGGCGGGCGCTGCCTGGTGATTTGGGGGTTTGTCCTGCATTGTCTTGGTCTCCCTGGCCTGTCTGAATATTTCTATTGCAAAAATATTTCCGCGTATGTGGTTACACTTTCTTTGGTCCTCCCCCTCCATCTTCATAATGTGCAGATTTTTAACAAATTTCACATAGGATGTTAAGTCCTCTTTATGTTAATCTTTCGCTGACACTGAATACTGCAACTTAGTTATTTTCTAATTTTTAATATTTATTGAGGTGGTTAATACAGTACTTGGCTTTAGGAAGAATCCGTGAAGGAAGCAGGGTTTGAGTGCTGCCTCAACGTGGCAGGGACAGTGAGGATTTGATCTCCTGTCTTTAACGGGCAATTACGACTCTATTGTCAGTCTATTGTGTGTCTTCCCCTTGGAGGCCCCGGGCAAGGCCGCCTGAGTAAGAGTGAGTGGCGGGGCCTCCTTCCCTGGTCAGCGAGGTCGGCAGGGCAGCTCTTTTGTCTACTGGGTCCTCAGTGCTGCTGGCCCAGATTCTCCTGGGCGACTCCACTGGCTCTGTGTTTGGAGAAACTGATTTTCTCATGTTTGTGGGAAAATCTGCAGACTGGGATTAGCTTACTTTGTCTTTTTCTTTTTAATTTTTTAAAAGGTTTTAATTTACATGTAGAAAGAGGGTAATGGCGGGAGAAAGAGGAGAAACAACGAAGTGTGGTTGCCTCTTGCGCGCCCCCCAGTGGGGGCCTGGCGCACAACCCAGGCGTGAGCCCTGACTGGGACTTGAACCGGCGGTCTCAGGCCGGCACCCAGTCTCCACTGAGCCACACCAGCCAGGGCTCCTGTTAATTGAGATTTTAGTAGTTGAAATTTATTGTTTTTCTGAGGGGTGTAAGGGATATTAAATATTTGGTAGAATATTAGACAGTTAGGGAAACCATTGTGTGATCTTACCACTTAGCTTTTTGGTGTATTGCCAGATAATTTTTTTAAATGAAGTGATTTTGAAACAAAATTATTATTGTGTATGTGAAAATATTTTTTCCTTTAAATATTTAATTTTCTGAAATGTTGGTTTTTGAGTAGTGAATGCAGTCAAGGTTATAAATGCATGTTTGTATGTATTTAGAACACATTTCAATATTTTAAAAATGATATTGCTCATACATGATTTCTTAATGTAGCTTTTAAAAAGTAGATTTAGAAAAGGGAGTATTTTTGCACTCCAGTTCTTTTCTTTGTTTTAACTCACACCTTTGCTTACTGAGCAACTGATGTGAATGGGTAAAGGAACTGAAGTTTTTTCGAAATGGTGTTCCGAACGGTGCTTAGATGAGTCATAGTCAGTGGTATATGATAGCGCCTTTTTATTGTATTATATTAATAAGTATATGGGGTGAGTACCCGAACCAATTTATTCTTGTATTGTTACTTATTTGTATAAAAATTGAAATCGTCTTGTTGCCCGCCCTGTATTTGAAACTTGTTGCATGAATCAAGTCCTTCATTCCTTCTACCGCTGAACGACATTCCATTGTATGGATGTACCATACCACGTTTTGTGTATTAATCAGTTGAGGTACTTGGCGTTATTCCCATGTTTTGCTATTAGGAGTAATGCTGCTAGGCACATTCACACGCAGATACATGGTTTTTATTTCACACCATCTAGCAGGAGTGGAATTACTGGGTTAAATATTAACTACTCCACTAACATTGCAGTTTACATTCCCACTGGCAATTCCTTCACTTCCTCCTAATGAGGTGTGAAGTGGTGTGTTTTTGAAGTTTTGATTGGCATTTCTCCAATGACTGTGATCTAGAGCATCTTTTTTGTGCCCATGGAAATTTGTACATCTTTTGAAGCAGTTTTTTACCTTTTTAAATTGAGCTTTGTTGTTTTGTTGAGTGGTAAGAGTACGTACTCAGGATACTAGATTTTCATCAGCTCTATTACTTGCAAATATTTTCTTCCATTCTGCTGGAATTTTTTTTTTCACTTTCTTAATAGTGTTCTTTGAAGGAGAGTCATCTTGTTACTTTTGGTGAAATCAGTTAATGAATTTAACAGCTATTGAGTATAAGGAGGAACCATTTTCTAGAGTATAGGTTTTTATCTTTTAAAGAGATAATATATGTGATTTTTTAAAAAGAGATCTTTGTTACTGCTTGAGTAGACCATCAATTTTTTAAGCAATAATAGAGTTTATTTGGGATCATTGGGAAACTCTTCATCTGGGTTACTTTGCACAATCTAGCATGAATTTTAAAATAGAGTTCAGGGAATTTGAATTCTGCCTTTGACGTGTTACCCTTACTGACTTCTGTAAAAGGCCTTAAAGTTCTTTCTGAATTAGTATTTCTAAAGTTCAGTTTTTGGGGGGCTCCTGCGGTGTCTAACAGGAATGGCTCAGGTGGCGGGTTCCACGCCCAGGTCCCTGCAGCCGCCATTTTGTGGTCCGCTCCCGACTCCTAACATGGCGCCAGCTGGGGTTTCTTTTCTTTCTCCCCCTCCCCCCATGCTTCATTTTTATTTATTTAATTTCTTTTTTATTTTTTTTTACAAATCCTAAGAAAGCAGCGATTGTACAGGAGATTGCTTAAGTAGACATTTTATAATTTAAACTTCATGCTTTTTTAAAACTATTCTAACAAAATATTTTTCAAGTAATTTCTCAAATGAGCTTACCTATTTTTTCCACAGGTACTTAGGTATGTGTAGTACGTCTGTATTTACATAAACAGCATATAGATTTATATCTACATGTGAATAAAAGCAGACATGTTATTTTGTTTTTGCTTAATTTTCCGATATTTTTCCCCCAGGTGTTTTTGATGTTCAGGGGCCTTTGGGAGGTGTGTGGTGTTAGGATAGAATCTGGCTACTGGGGGACAAAGACCTAACATTTAATTTGTGTTTTTCCAATTTTACTGAGATGTAAATGACATCACTGTATATTGTATTAATTAGATTATGGGTATTTAAAAAAATTTCTTCTATTAAGTAGAGCTGTAAATTTGACCTTCAAGTAAATGGTGAATTACATCAAACAACCCCCTTTTTCTGCTCCAGGGACCGCTTACACTTGAGAAGGACCACGGAACAGCACGTACCCGAGGTGGAAGTCCAGGTCAAACGCCGGAGGACGGCCTCCCTGAGCAACCAAGAGTGAGTGCGTCTCGGGTAAAGAGCAGTTGGGATTAAAGTCCTCCTTCAGTTTGTAACAAAGCTGTTCAGTGGGGGTCCAGGATCCATCCATAAAATACAGATGATGTGGCATTAAAAGCAATGAAATCCTGATAAATTATGTTGTAACTTTCATTAAAATTGTAGTAAAATGTATTTTCTTTTTTCCACACATGTGTAGGTAGCTTTTATCTTTATAAAATTCTGTATTCTTCTACATACTTTTATTCTGGACAGACCCTCATACACACTATAACATTTAGGATTTCAGAAGGGAGGTTTAATGGAAAGTACAGGAGCAGTTTTAATCTGATACTGAGTATACATTGAAGCATTTTGTCATTGTAACAGATTGTAACAGTAGCTATGTGGTAGCATTTTTTCCCTTAAAGGCCCTTTGTAAAACACAATTCTGAAGTAACAAAAGTAACAGCCACTTCTAAGTGTTCACCAGTCTGTTCTTCCATCCCGCGATGACCCTCAGGTCCTGTGCCCTGTCTGCTCTCATCTCCTCTGCGTTCTTGTGCGCACTGCAGCTTCAGCACACGCACCTGCCACACACACAGGGGCGGCCATTTGTGACTAGTTTTCATACGTAAGATTTTCTGTAACTGCCTTGGGTCTTTCTCTGTCAATGCATTTACGTCCCCCTTATTTATTTTACAAATTTGCAGAGTATGGGTGATGTTATAACATAATTGATAAGTATAAATAGCTTAGTTTTTTTAATTTCTTAGCTGATTAAAAAAAAAAGATGAGCATTCAATATGAAAATTTGTTAGCTATTAATAGTTGCATTTTATTTTGCTTAAATCTTTTATGATAACTACATAGCTATTGTGTCTTATTTTTATTTGCTCATTATATGTGAAGACTTAAAATACACTTGCACATTTTAAATGATGAGGCTTAATATTTCCCCATTGTACCATATTTACCTTGTTTATATTTCTTAACCTTGTTTATATTTCTTAGTTTATTCTTTATTTTCATTTAAGAAATTACTTTGAAAAACAGTATAGTGTGAATGAATATTGAATATTTTATATAACTTATCCTTTATAATTGCATATTTGCCTGTTTTCTTTCAATGGTAATGTGTTTTTCCTCTCTACCCTTTTGTAACTTCAGAGTTTTAAAAAGTGCCAGTGCCCCCAATCCCTAGAGACACCTTGAGGTAGTTACTGTGGGGGAGGTTTTGTAGCGCAGTCCATTGGGGGAGGTCTTTTGATAGGGGGTGAAGGTTCCATCATATCTGTTAAATTTTGTTAGATCCTCCATGCTGTGCAGCATCTATGTGGACAGGTGACGTCATCACATCTTGTTTCAGCCTTTTAGGTATTGCCTCCTTGTCCAGGTATGTGGAACCCTGAAACCTGTTGATTTCAAGAACAAGAACTAACTTCATTTTCATGACCCAGTGTCTATTACTGCACATACAGGGTGCTGAATTGGAGGAGGGTCTCTGAGGAGAGGTTTCAGTTGGGGAAGTAGTGTAAAGAGTAGTTACAGGAATGGGTAAGCGGTGTTGATGTTTCCTAGGCTCTCTGTAATGGTGCATGTGCTCAGTGTCCTCTCTGGATTGGGACACTTAATCATTACAGTTTGAGTGTGCATTTTCCTCATAATCCCTGTCTTTTTCCAAACCGTAGGTACTTAGAATCAGTGTTCCTGAGGAATGGTGTGGGTGCCCATTCTGAAGACCAATAAAGGGTTGCTATTAGTATCCCATTACACAAATAGAAAACAAAACTGAATAATTTATATAATTGGTCCTTACACTATTTGCCTTTCAGTTTTCTTTAACATTGTAATAGCATTTTCCTTCCAGTCTTCAGTAACCTCAAAGTTTTAAAAAGTCCCACCTCCCTCCCAGAATCTCTAAAAAATATCTTGAAGTGGCTTAGAGATTGTCGTGGAGGTATGGTTGGGGTGTCTTATGGGGAAGGATCTTTTGTTAATGGGTGAAGATTCTATCGCACGTAAGTTTTTTTAGAGTCTTTATCCTATGGGGCATCGAAACAAATCCCAAAGCAGTCTGCAGACAGGAAAACCCATAGACTAACAACAGTGCTAATAGAAGGCCATTGATTATACCCTAAAATTGATGGTATTCCGTCTGCCAGTAGGTACAACACCCAATTAGCTCTTGTTCTTTGGGCCTGGGGAATGTCTTCCCTATTTCGTGATGTATTCTGAGTTTGAGAGAAATTGGAGGTAGGGCTGGAGAGTTTTCTGAATCTGTCTTATGTCCCCCCTTAAAATGTCTTTATGAATATATGCTCTGCATTCCGTAAAGTAAATGCTATATGAAATGAGTCTCAGTTCCTCAGTCTTAATATTAGTCAACAGTTGGGTTTCAGGTTAAACCCAAGAGGTACTACATTATAATAAGTTTCAAGAAGAAGAAATTGGGGAGGGGAAGCTACAACTCTTTTTAAAACCTCATGGGTTTTCTGTTTTGGAATGAAAGGATTGAAGTGGAGATTGCCAAGGTAAAGATCTAATCATGCAGTGGAGGTGAGGGAAAGTTTAAAGGCGTGAGAAATTCATTTCTGACCCTTAGGGCTTGGCAGGTGAAGAGCATAGTCCTTCATAACAGGACCCTTGATTCCAGGCCCATCCCTTCAAAGGAGCTCGGGTTCAGCCTCAGCCTTCGAGCCACCTGGTTGCTCTTTGTGGCCTGGCCAGCTGCTCCCCTCAGTCACCTTATTTCCATTAACTCGGATATGATGGGGGCCGCCATGAATAACAGATATTCCCATCACTTGGTAAAGTCATGGGTTTATTTTACCTTTAAGACCATTTTTATTTTTACTGGGTTTTTTTCAGACACCAGAAGAAAGAAACATCAATTTGTTGTTTCACTTACTGATGTTGATGCTTTTCTAGATTGCTGCTTCTGTGTGCCATGACTGGGGATCAAACCCATAACCTTGGTGAAAGGGAGTGATGCTCTAATTCACCGAGCTACCCAGCCAGGGCTGGAGAATTCATGGGGTTAAAGGTTATCTCCCAGGAACCATGGACCAAGTCCAGCCTAATTCTTTATTATCTAATATGTTAAAAGCACTTACAAACTATAGAAAGTACTGGAAAACATTTCATTGCAACCTAAATGCTATTGAATATTCCTGTGTGTGTACGTATGTACGTATGTACTTACCAACAGGGTCAGGCTTGCTGGCAAATTACTTTTTTCATGCTTGTCTTACAAGCAGCATCTCTTTCATGTCCTCAGGATGAGATTCATTGCCAGATTCCTGACCCATAGGGATATGTTGAGGGCTTTTATCTGGAATTTCCTGCTAATACACGGTTGGTTTACTTAGCTTGAGAGCCTCAGCAGTCCAGACCCTGGTACTTCTCTGTGGCAGTGTTAGCAAATGCCCCTTGGCCCTCCCTAGGGGTAAGGCTTGTTCCAGATGACAGGATCAGAAAGCAAGTTGTGAGTGTGCGGCTCTGATGGTATTTCCACAGGAAAAGCTACCGTTTTATTTTTTTTACTTTCTTGGTAGTATCTCCCAGGTGGGTAGGCACCCCTGAATTTCCTGTATGCAGAGTCTCCCATTTTCTGTTTTTACAGTTTCTGTGTAAGGTCATGTCATGCACTAACCCTGAATGGGGATCCCCATACACGTAAGGGTCTCTGCCTGCCTTCCCTGCTCCCTGTGTGGGCGAGCATCTTTCATGGATGCATGTTGTGCTCTTCTCACAGGTGTCAGCTGTACCCCCGGCGCTCCCAGCAGCAGCAAGCACCTGTGGTGGACTTCCAGGCGGAACTGAGGCAGGCTTTCCTAGCTGAGACACCCCGAGGTGGTTAAAGCAGCCTTGGGACATCCCAGGTAGCTGATTCAAGCAAAAAACCAGGTTAGAGGTGACGCAGCCGTGATCAGGAGAACAGAAATCCTTAAAGAATGAGGTTTTCTGGAGGTCACTTAATTATTGAGGCTGTGTGAAAAGACGCTGTTTCCTTTAAGAGCTTCATCCCGAAAGTTCCTTGCAGGAATCTAGAAAAGTAAAAGCAGTACCTTAGTACTCTTGCACTGACATTTTTGTCATGTTTCTGTATTCCATTTCACTGTGGTGCATGCTTTTTTAGGTAGTTTTCATATTTAATTTATATTGATTTCAACTTCGTACGAAAAATCATTATAAATGGCTGCTAAATATCCTGCTAATGAATGTTTTAGAATTTTTTTGGTAAGAGACTTTATTTTTTCTGCTGATCGCAGAAAATTGCATTGCATAAAACAATTATTTCCTCAGATGTCCAGATGTGCAAATCAAGAAATATGAGCTTAAGATACATTTTCTAAATTGTATACAAAATATTTATATCTTTACTGCCTTGAAAAATGGAGTGCCAGTTACAATGTGCTTTGTCCTGCATTAGTTATTTTAATTTGTGCCTTCTGAATTATAAGTATACATCACATTCATTAGCAAATAAAAAGCTAAACATTTTCAAAAGCTTATTTACTAATTCTTTTGGTGTGTCTTTTTCTCACTTTTTGTTTTCATCAGTGTATTTCAATCAGCTGACAATATAATAAAGACTTTATGATTTTTCAATGTGCTGTAGATTTATTTTCAGTCTGTCTCTGTGTTGCTTACATTTTTAGAAAAAAGCTGTTCATAATTGGATTCTGATTTAATGGTTAGTTTATCCTTTGTGACATATTTTAAGACGGGAATGTCCTGCATCCAAAGTGTTTAAATATGCTTTGAGAAACAGAAGCAGCGGGGTGATATCTGAGTTTTCGTCTAGGTTTTTCTTTATGTGTGTTTTTAAATGTTTCTCAGCTCAAGTTATTAGTCCTGTTGATGGCCACCATTTAAGTTTTAAAAGACAGGAGAATTTTTTTTAAAGAAAAATCCTCCCCTGCTACGTTATTTTCCAGCTTCTTCAGCGATTGCCTAGACGTGAGTATAAGACAGTGGAATTGATTTCAGTGGAATGTGATCATAGCTCCTATTTAATCCAAGAGAAAGGGCATTCTTAAATGCCTAAGTGTGCACAAGTGTCTCTTCTTCACAGGAATTTTTTAGTTCCTCAGAACAGGTAACACACTCTTACAAGTTCCTAAGTAATATTATGTAAATCATACCTTATGATACGCAAGTAGCACCGTGTAATTTTCTGATTCTCAAATGCTAGTTTTCTGTAAATGGAAATAGTTGCTGGGGTTCTTTCAGGGCAGGGGTGGTAGGGACCTGACCACTCACCGCCTGTTTTTGTGAATAAAAGTTGATGGGCACACAGCTGTGCCCACTGATTTGCATATGGTCAGTGATTGTACTGACATTACCATAGCAGGTAGAATGGCAGCCAGAAACTAAAATACTGCCTTTTAGAAGGAAATGCTGGCTGATCCGTGTCTTGAGGAAACCGCATGCAAAGATGCGAACACACCGGTGAGGCCAGTGGGGATGTGGTGAGTCCTGCAGGAGGTGGTCAGGGAACGGGGTTAGCAAGGGGGCTGTGCGGGGGTTGGCAGTGCAGGGCAGGGAGCCCGGGGGGTTCGGGGGGGGGAGCGGCCCAAGGACCCTGTGAGTCAGGCCTACATGGACACAGGTGGTGGTGACGACATTTTAACAAAGGGGTCCTTTTCATTATTAAAATCTAAAGCATGATAGTAATAGCCGAGGAACATGGAAAAACCATAAACATGCTGTACCCATGTTTCAACCACAGCATGAGGTTGAAATTTATTTTTCCCGTTTTCTTTGGAGAACATGTAGGTAGTTAACATCTTGCTTTTAAACTAATTTATTCTCTTATTTTCTTTAACTGTGTGTGAATGATTTTAATTTTATTACATAGTTCTTGTTACCATTTTTATTGAATAAATGATAGTGCATTCATGATGTTACATCACTTCTGTATTTGTTTTTTCCTAGTTATGCTTTTAAGAATGTTAGCTCTATGTTTTTAAGATGTATTTGTTACCTTAAATTACAGTAGGGATGCATGCGCTTAGGTGCTGCAGGGTACAGACAGTATGACCTAAATGTTTTGGTTACATGGCTTTCTTAAGAGTATCATAAAGCACTGTTGCCATCAAAGATTACCAGAAAGCCAGTTCCTCAGTACCATGGTTTGGTATTGCGATTACTATCGTTTCTGATAAAGTGATCCACAAAAGGAACACTTCATAGATTTAACTGGCATTGCTTTGTGGATGAATATTTTGCATGTACTTAAGTATTTTTCCAGTTAATTGTAAAACTCTTGTACATTTTTTGGTGGAGGAGTTGCCGTTTTACTAGATTTGAGTGAGCACTAATGTATTACCATTATTCCATGATGCCTCATGTGTCTTGGCCAAGTCTGACCGTGTTATTCTTTTACTTAAAAGAGCTTTACTTTTTTATGCAGTTTAATCATTTGAAAGTCCACACTATGCAGAAATTTGAGAAGTTCAGTGAGGGGTCCCAGCATGTCAGAGGGAGGCATTTGGGGTCACGGATTTGCTTTGTGCCCCATGATGTACAGATAAACAGGCAGTGCTACTACATCGGTGCAATCTGATGGCATTGCCTCCCTTTTCCTCAGGAAGTATTTTTGTTCTCCTTTGTTGAAGTCAAGTTGATTATCCTACATAGTGATGTCTTTTTGCAATAAATGGGTTTCATGATCATGGTGAGCTAAATTTAGGGATGAGAGATAACTTGTTAACTTGAAGGCAGACTCATTACGGAAAGCCTAAAAATCTTCAACCTCTCCAGTCAGTCCGCCCCTGTTCCCTATGTCTACCCCATCGTTCAAGAGTAGAAAGGGCTAAGCGTTCAGACACAGACCCTGCTTATGGAGATTCCTGTCAGAATTTAGAACACCAAAATTACTGGTCTTAAATTTAGTGAGTTTGGATCAATTACTACATTTATTGTTGGAGTTTCGTCTGCTTATTTGACTAGATCTTTACATAATTTTACTTGAAACAAATGCTGGATACCAGGCATGGGCATATCTGCGGTGTAATCCTGGGTGTCGAGGACATGAGGGGCGTAGACAGGAGAAGAGGGACCGCGAATCACAGCGGGGTGACAGTGTGTCCAGGGCAGACGGACAGTGATCTTCAGGACACACTGCGCACAGGAGGCACAACAGGTTGCATGTGGACAACCGAGGTCGGAATTCTGTTGTTTAGACAAATCTGATACCCTGAAAGTGGCCATAAAAATATATTTTAAATGAATCATTTTCATAGTTGAGGGAAATATCCCTTCTACGCCTTATCCCTCTTACCGAATTATTTATTTCATATTATTGTTAACTCTTTGGAATAGTGTGATTTTGTTCCATGTGGAAACCTGTTGTGTCCAACATTTTTTCACTCTTATTTTGTTGTTGCTATGGTTCATAATCAGCATTTAAATGGTTACATTTTCATATCCTGAAATTGATGATTTAGAATTTACTTAACTAGTTTATTTTGCTGTTCAGGAATATTAAATGCATATCTTAATGGACATGTTTGTTCAAAGTAATATATCTGACTTTATGATGCTTAGTTATGCATATGGCCAAATGCTCATTCAAAAATAATGTAATTTGTGTTTTCTTTTGTATTGACTATAATTAATTTGAGACCTGTACCAATTTTCGCTAGACTGGGTTGCCATACTTAATAGCAAGCTTTGTGAGTATATTGAGGAAGTGATCATATTTTTACATTTCATGTTCTGTTGATTTCTAAGAAGGTTGCCCATACATACATACACGCATTTTGTGGTTGTAGGTACCCTTTCAACAGAGGAGGTATTAAACCATTACATGATAAAACTTGGGTTCTTGGGGAAGAAAGACTATTTAGCATTATTTGGAAGGGGATTGGCGGGGGGTAGGGGACACTGAGGTTGCAAACAGTTAGGTGGTCCAGCCGAGCAGCAGAAGTTGGACCTAAGTCAAGGGTTAACTCAGAGGGAGGCACTTAAACGGATGTCAAACTTTTGAAGTTGAGATGCGTGGTATGAACTTGGGACCAGAAAGTGAAGCATTGCTCTGAATAACAATAAAAAGGAAATAACCCATCTGTGGAATGGAAAAATGATTATTTTTGAAACGTTTAAGAATCTATGTAACAGGTCAAGAGTTGATGGGGGATGGGTGAAAAGGTGGAGGAGGAGGAACACAGCCAGTAGTGCGGTAAGTGTGGGCAGCGAGAGGGTTGCTAGAACTGCTGTGGTCACGTGGTGAAGTATAGAAAGGACCGACGCACTTCATTGGACAACTGAAACTAGTATAGTTAATGCAGTATTGCATATCAGATATAAAGGGGGGAAAAGAAACTTCCTTAACCCTCGGTGCCTAAAATGTGTGGGAGTCAAGGTGAGAGATGAGTGAAACTGAGGTATGTTTGGAAGGTATGGGAGGATGGGGGTGTTGTTTAATATGTCTGTTAGTGATTTTCTTGCTAAATAGATTGCAGTGCAGCTGGACCATGCTTTCCTCTGCAGGCTCCACCTACTGTTGGAAGCTTCTGCCCCAGCTTGCATTGTTTGTAGCAGAACCTGCGTCATACCTTTATCTGTAGCCTTCCCTTAGGTCTGACAGATCCTGAGACTTTACTGTGGACATTGGACTTGGTGGAACAGCAATCATGGTAAGATACATTTATTGGGGGAGGGGGTGCAAATACCGTTAAGAGCCGAACAGAGTGGTCTGCCAGAACGTGGTATTAGACATAAGTCCGTCTATAGAGAAGTAATTGGGTTTATAGTTACCTCACTGCATGGGCCAGCAATTGGAGACCTGCAGTGTCTTGTCATATTGGTAAAATGGTTTGGAAAGCATCTTAGGAGTCTTATAACGTGAGTTTTTGGTGACGATGACTTTAGTAAGAAACCT